ACTAATTTGTTTAGATTGCAATATGAATAGCTTAGACGATAAAATTATACGTACAAATAATACATGTGTATTTATTATGTTAAGCAAACCGACAATACAAAATTGTGTTGCTAAAATGCGTAAATTGAAAAATAAAAATTTGATAAATATTTTATTCGACATAACACAAATAATTAGGCATATGAATAAAATGTTTATTAATTAAAACATATTATAGTGGGTTGAAAAAATTGATAAATCATTTTATACTGGGTATGTGTTATTATAGTATAATACAAGCTATGTTGGGCTTATGGCCATACAACAAGTGATGACTGTTTTTTTAATATCAGATTACATACATTAATTGACCGATTACTAAGGCTAGTAATATTGACTATCACATGATATTATTATAAGAATATGTAATTATAAACTTGTATTATGAATTGTGCTGTTCTTAAAGTAAGATAACCTTGTTCTGATGCTATCCTATTAGTTTTTATTATAAAATATAAATAAATATAAGTATTTATACTTTTTAAAAAACTGTACGATTAACGAATTCTAAATTTATTAAGAAAATAGACTTTAATTTTAATAATCTGAAATAATTGTTCAAAAATAATGTATAAAAATATTTTTTACTAAAATAATTTAATAAAACAAGTCTAATGGTGTACGATTTGGTATTAAATCCTAATACATGTAGGTATATGTATAAAATTCGCATCGGTTACCGACGAATTTTTAGAGATTTATTATTGTTCTAGTCAAAACAATTTGCGGACACCCGTAACTCCTCGCCCTTCCATCTGTCTGTATGCTCTGGTGCCGGTGGTGGCTTATATTTTTTGTTTTGGTTATGAAGATGATATAATATACAGAGTGTGCCAAACACCCATTGGCAACCGAATATTTAAAACTCAATTACTAAAAAAAAATATTTTCGGAGGCTCAATTTCAAACCAAAAATTAACCTATAGAAATTAAAAAAAAAAAATTACGCGCTAACTAACAATAATATATAACTTTTATTCAAATAAACACCAAACATTTTTGGGTCTTTTTGTGCACGTTCTGTATACCATTATTAGATATTTCGTATCTTGTACGTACGTTATATTTTTAATCTTCTGTCCCTCACTATAAACATATATTAACTACAACTATAACTAATTCCTGGTATTTCAGTGGTATAAATAACGCTTCTAGTATAAATTTAAGCCATTTTACATTACATTAAAAAAAGCAAATCAATTTTATAGAGTTTAAGTTGAATGAGCTTTTTACACTAATAAAATACTTCTTTGTATAATAGGATAATCTTGAAATATTTTACAAAATAAATAAAATATATTATATTATTTTTATATCCACTGTAATACTGTATATTTACTATCGGAATTTAATTCTATCAGCTTTAACGATTACGCTGTAAAGCAAAGGAAATGTAATGGTGTGTATAGTAGCTCAAAAGGGATGAATGGGGTTGCCTAGTAATACCAAAGAGTTACTGTAGTGTCAAATGTGTAATGTGTGCAGTGTGTATAATGTTGATAATTTGAAAACTTTAATAATTTAAAAAAGTTCCTTTTTCGGTTATCATTAGTACTTAAACTAGAATTGCCTCACCGGTGCAACAAACAGTTAACTAAACAAAATACAATTGTGAATAAAATTCACACACAACAAATTAACTTAATTTCTGGCCAGGGGTGTAGCGAGGTCATTGTTCCCAAGTTAATTCGGCCGACTGACTTTACAAAAACAAAATGTACACCCACATGAACTAATTAGTAATTTTTTTTCCATGCTTTTTAATTTTCTCAATGTTTTTATGTTAAAATTTTATAACTATTATATACGAAAAAATAAGAATACTTTTAAATGGATATATTTATAAAAAAAAAAAATGCAATGGATACAAAAAATGGTTAAATGTTATTTCATATTTTTTTTAGAACCGCCATTGTTAAGACCATTTTTTAATTTTACTTAATACTAATAACGATTATACGAAGTAAAACAGGGCTGCGTATACTTTCGTTCCTAAGAAGGTATATTTGGTAGGTAATTAATTCAACCGGCGCGGCAACTCGACTGTTATTTTCCCTACCTGCCATTATAGTCTTTTTTTATTTTTATTTTTTTAAACAATACGGACAAATATCTAATTAACAATGAGAAATATAACATGGTAAATCTGAATAACAAGATAACATAGATACAATATAACAGGGGTTGAATGAACCGGTTACAACCAAAAACCGCACATTTCATCGGTTGCCAGGTAAGTACATTATATAGCTAAATACGGAATATCGCACACTTATATTGGGTAAAAAGAGGTACGTAATAAATGAATTGTAAACGCAAGGCTTCTAATGACATTCAAGAGACACCGCAAAAAATAATACTCTGAGAGATGTCATCCATAGAAAATAATACGAAAATAGGAAGTAATGACGTAAGCTTAATAAGAGTATTCAAAATATTGTCCGTCCAACTGAAAAACAAGTTAGTTAATAGGCACATTTTAATATTTTTAATACATCATTTTGAATGAAATTGGGTTCATTTTTAGGAACACTTGTTTAAATGTTGGGAAGAATTTTTTAAGGACGGGGATCGTTTGAAATTTCTAAAAAACGTTAGAAATCGATTTCAGCAAATAAAATTTAAATCATTTTTTTAAAATTTTATATCCTAAATTGTACCAAAAAAATGTTTTTTGAATATATATATAAATAATAGTTTATACGTCATTATAAAATGTGCAGTTTTTGAATACAGCAATTTTAAAAAGTGTGCGGTTTTGCCCTGTGTTTTATCATCTATATTTTGAAGTCAATGAATGAACCAGTTAACTGTTATTAATAACAGGAAAAATTGAACTTTATTTATACATGTTTATGTATAAGTTTTTTTTGAACTTTTACGTTTTTTTAAACTTTTTTGTGAACATTTCATCGAATGGAATGTACTAGTATGTGTTGTTTGGTATACGAATAATTATTGTGTATAATTTTTTTGGTATAAATCTACTTTACCGGACACCCTTTTTTTCCGATTTTTTTTTTTGATTCGATAGTATTTTTCACGCTGATTACGAATATGTAAAAATGTTGCGCCGCTCGCACTTAGTTTGGAAATTACAGAAGTTTAAAGTTCGCCAATATCGACTTACGCGCGCGCTGAGCGCCGCACGTCTACCCGCGGCCACCGGGTACATCATAACAAAGATCGCGCGTTATACTGATAACAAGTTACAGGCGTTTAAAGATCGCCGATAACTGGGCTAGGTTTTGTCTCGTTAGGTTGCTGACCGCTTCCAGGGCAGTTTCAGGTTACTTTTTTTATTCCCTTTAGGTGAGCTATTTTTCCCTCTAGGGGTTTGGGGGCGTGAGTCCCCATCCTAACGAAGAGTCCCGAAGGGACTCGAGTCGACTCCCGGAGCCGGCAGGCGTAGGAAGTTGCTTTATTTAATTATGAGTTTTTTTTAAAATTAAATTGACCTGTATAACCTATATATAGCTGTAATTTCAAAACTAATGTTTACTCATACTAAATACAAAAAAAAAAAGATTACGACGGGCGGGAGGCAAGTAGACGAGGGGGCCGCTCGTAATTAGTATAACTATGTCGAGAGCGGCGATCGTCGAATGATGTACCCGGCGGCCGCGGGTAGACGTGTGGCGCTGGGCGCGCGCGTAAGTCGATATTGGCGAACTTTAAACTTCTGTAACTTCCAAACTAAGTGCGAGCAGCGCAACATTTTTACATATTCGTAATCAGCGTGAAAAATACTATCGAATCAAAAAAAAAAATCGGAAAAAAGGGTGTCCGGTAAAGTAGATTTGTTCCATTTTTTTGACTTCCTTTAAAACAATAACGCCATTTTACACCTATACACTTTGCAATACGTAATAAAAATATATAGGTAATACCTACATGCATTTATAAAATAAACAAAGATAATAGTTCAATAATAGGTAAACAGTTTTCTAGAGATAATAAAATATCGTTTTTTTTGTGGTGAAAAATATACATTCGGACTTTTTGTCCGACTTTCAAAATGCCATCTGGAAATATTTTTTAAAAACACCCTCGTTTTAGTCGTTGTCTCATTAAGAGGACGCTACCCACCCGTAATTTATCCGCAAAAAATGGCTTTGCGGGGGACAAGAATGTGAAGGCGGTATTTACAGTAGCCGTATACAATTTTTACAATGGATAGAGAAGAACTTTATTTACGGGGTAGCGACTTTAGTTTTTTGATAACTTAATCACAATTAAAATTATTTCTTCGTGAAGATTCTATTTTTTTTTTCAATTTTCATTTGCTTATAAAAAAATATTAAGTATAGATATCAAACAAATAAAATCGCTACCCCGTAGATAAAGTTCTTCTCTATACATTGTGAAAATTTGGTAAATCTACTGTTAATACTGCCTTCACATTCTTGTCCCGCGCAAAGCAGTTTTGATGGGGAAAAAATTGTAATTTATCCTATAGAAGTGACTGTGATAGTCTGACGAAAAAAATGGCAATCAATAAAGTATCCTCATTACTGTATTAATAAGTATATAATATAGTTCAAACTCTAATTTAAGGTTTTTCGAAAAATTGCCTATACTTTACTCCTTAGAAATGGCCTGGGTAGCGTCCTCTTAATGAATAAAAACGAATAAAATGTGAAATAATTACTCCTTAATATGTCATGCTGGTAGCATAACTAACACCATTAATAATTGTCGATTTTTTATCCGGCGGCGTTTTGCCGGGCGACCTTTTGTCGTGTTTCCGAGCCAGACATAATTTCAACTACAAAACAAACAAAGGGACGCTACAGCTATTTGATAATATTAAAATGTGCAATAGGTGATAACAGTAGCGGTCGAGTTGGTCGGCTGGAGGTAGAACACAGTGTAGGTAAATATTCAGACAAAATAAGTTATGATAACTTGTTTCTTAACACTATATATTGATGAGTGATAACAACAAAATGCTGGTTGTAAATTGTAATTTGTAACTGCCCATTTGGCGGATCGTGTAGTCAATAGTAAATAACTAAGTGAATCGATTATTAATACAATTAATGGCAGTGGTGTGTTATGTAAAATAATGGGACTAAAATAAACAATAATTGTAAAATTGTCATTTATGTAAAATTTGTATAACATTTGGCAATTATGTCTAATAATTTGTTAACTTTGGACACTATCAACAAACATTTGGGAGATGACTTTGACAACATAATAGATCGATGTAACAATTATAAGGAAGTACTTCTGAAAAATCAAAATGAAGTCAAGAACAAAGTAAATGTTGACTACATATTTCAAACTAATATTTTGTTCAAAAATAATTTTCTCTTTGTGCTGTGTTAAGATCATGTCCCAGGTAGTCGGAGAATATGCACACTTGCCTGATATTCGTAAAAAAGTCCAAAATGACAGAAAATCGATTAAATCACTGATAGAAGAGGTTAATCAATTGAAATTGAAGTATACAAAATTCCGTGAAGAAACTGAAAGTATAAGAAATGTATTTAAAACACTAATAGCTGATATAAATGCAAAATCGAATAAGATTACTTACTTCATTTGCCTTAAAAGTATTATCTCTATAAGGTATGTATATATTATGTTTGTTACATTTATTATTCATTATTATGTTTTTTATATTAGTACAGTTTTTTATTTTTAAGAGCAGTAATCGAGTAAGATGTGAACTTTCAAATAAACAAGATAATGAAGTCATAAAACTGTATATGTATTTGTGTGAACTTAGTGTTGCTATGACCAACGCACCATGCAAAAAGTTAGTTTCTTATTTAAATAGTATAATCAACTATTGGCATTCAATTATTAAACATCATTATTCAGAGTAAGATATATAATATACGTTGCGTTATATAAGTATGGTTGTATTTATATTATATGGTTTGTTATTTTAGAGGTTTCGAGTTGATATTAAAACAAATGAATTGGCCGTTTACACCTAGTGAATCAAAAGATATTACAAATCTAGATAATCTTAAGTGTAATTTCCAGCACGTGGCTAATATTTTAATTAACATACGGCTTCCGTATCCTTTGATAGCTGATAGATAACTATGAATGTTAACAAGTTTATATAAATTGTTTACTATTACATGAGTTAACCTTTTCAATTAAATGTATTCAACATTTTTTTTGTAATGATGGGTGATACGTGATTTATAAACAAAAAAAAATTTGAGTTTTTCGCCTCAATAGAGTGTGATACTTTGTCCTAAGCCATTATGATTGTCTGCAGACGATGTCATAAAATTGGTTGCCTTATTTGCGCATCGTATCTGTTTATTATAAAATTAGTGTTGTTATGAATTAAATTTTGAATGTCGATAATATTCTTCATATAAATGTGAAATTATTGATGTTTAATATTTACATTTTTCTTTTAATATAGTCATATTGTTTTCTTAACTCAAAATACTAGTGAAAGCTTAGACAAAAATTGTACAGAACAGTTGCCAGTTACTCAGTTATTGGAACATTTTTCTCGTGTTAGTTTACCGATATCATTGATGTTAGTAACTTTCCGCAAAAGGTTTTTCTTTCATTTTACTGGAAAAAAACAGACTAACAAACCAGATAAACCCGAATGGTTTTTATCCAGAGTCCTTAGTTGGATAAGAGACTACCGAACATTTATTACGGATTGGTTGGGTCCACCGTACATAGATAATAATAGAAAACCTGTTGATGCTCAAGTAATTTGAACTAATTAATACTTGCTTACATTATATGGTAATTTTCCATTTTTTTTCTCCATAGCACGAGTTTATAGTTGGATTATTACAGCCTGTTGTAATAAAACTAGATTCAGATTTATCACATTTTCAACTAGAAGATGTTGTATTTTCTCACATTGTTGATGAAACTTTAGCATTTGAACACGAACTAAGGAAAGTCTACAATTATCCAGACGATTATCCGAGCGTTACCGAAGTTTTAACGCAAGCTCATTTATTTTTTAAGTGGATTAACATGGAACGAAAATGTAATATTTAGTATTTACTTATCAAAAATCCATATTATAATATTTATATTAAATATTATCTATATGATGTATAGTATAAACAATATATATTAAGTATAAGTATAAGTATATATTGATTGTTTTAGATGCAATAAATAAAATTGAGGAGATCCTTGATAATGATGAACTTTGGAAAATTTTGGTAAATGATACTCAATATAAATTGACAACTTGTGCAGATAATTTGTTAACACTGTTAAACACTATGACTGATAGATACAGTATACTTCGACAACCTCGGCATAAGTAAATATTTTTTTGAATTTAATATGTATTATTATTTATTTACTTTGGAAATAATTATGAAAACTCTCCAACCATATTTAAACTGTAAATTATAGGATTATAGAATATTTAAAAATTAACTTTAAATGATTATTTTTAAAGTTATTAAACAAATTTTAAATCTAAATTTATGTTATCTGTTTGGCAATATCCTAAATGGATTATTCTTTATTTTCAATAAGATTATAGCATTTTATCAAAACTGTATAAGACACAATACATCTAGTCGAAATGTTATAGTATGAGTTTTCAAATTATTTATTATAAAATTAAAAATAACCAAAAAATACGGAAAGGAAAATTGATGTTTTAAGCAGTCGTGGTGCATAAATTGACTGAATTAGCTTTGCTATAATCTTCTATCAGATAATTTGCTTTTAGATTTAAAAATAATTTAGGTTATTAATGTATAATAATGTAATAATTTAGGTTACAGTTTTTGAAACTTCAGACTGATCTCTTAGAAGAGTTTAAGACAAAAATAATTGACGGTTACCACACTAGAGAGAACCAGAATACAGTAGAAGACCTACAGCAATTATTATGTACTCTACATTATATTTGCTATGTTCTATACAACTGGGGAACTAACATGGTATGTAAATGTTAACCTTGAAATACAAATGTATTGATCAGTTAATCAGTAATCCGGAATTAATCTGTTAATGGCAATAACGTGGAAAGAAATAAGTCTGTTTTGAGGGCAGCGGCGCTTCACTGTATAACCTAAAATGTATAACCTTAACTTAATAATTCATTATTTCAGTTAACAATAATAATGTCTTATAAATAAAAAAAAAATGTATGCTTTAAATAATAATGCATTTTTAAGCTCTTAACAAAAAACATGAAAGGTACTTATTAAAGATTCAGGGTGCATACTTTTAATATTTTTTATTTTTTCCAGCATTTTTTAGCATTGCTGAACTATAAATGTGAATTGGAAACTGAAGTCAGGAATAGAAGTGAGAGCGAACATACCGAAATATTGGAAAATGCCGACACCGTATTTGATGAAACAATTCGCTTATACTATGTGGAAATTGATAGTTTATTAGAAGAATTATGTGGAAACGTTTTAATAAAAGTGAAAAGAAGTGCAAAGAATTACAAACGGGACAGGTAAGAAGTAATTAGTGGGCGGTCTGTAATTGGTCTAAATTTCATCTTGTATGATTTTGACTTATTATGGCCATTCCATAGACATATTTTTGTTTATGATAAATCTAATTGTAAGAATATTACCTTTCCAAAAAAATAAAAGAAGGTGTATTTGCAGCATTTTGACAAAACTCAAATCGTAAAATAAGTTTTTAATTTTCCCACTTAAAAATTAGCCACATTGTTTCTATCTATAAGCTTCTATTGATTTTATTTTTTCATTAGTGTGTCGTTATTAAAGTTTAAACACATGTACCTAATTAAAAAATTATTTTATTGTTAGATGGCATATAATGAGTTCTTTAAGCGACAATACTAAGTATAGTATAACCGATAGTGGTTGGGTAATGTATGAAACATTTGCAGAGAATCTAGATTTACTGTCAAAAAATCTTCCTATTGCTTTGTTTAATAAAAGTTGGCCTATATTATCTACTAAACTATCAGAGGTAACTGAGTTAATTTATTGTGTATGAATAAAAATATAAATAATTTTTATATTTTTTTTTTTTTTTAGTTTATTATAAGTGATATCCTCATGGCTAACATGTTTAACAAAGGAGGAGCACAGCATTTGAAATGTGATGTACAGTATAAAATGCTGCCAATTATTTCCAAGTATACAACAAAACCAAATATTTATGCTGAACGGTTAGATATATTGTGCAATTGTATAATTATTATTAATGTGTTTCAAAGTTTTAAATATAATTATTTTGTTTGTTTCAATCTTATCCTAGGTTATTAGAAGCTTGCAATGTTTTATGTTTCGAACCGAATTTTCAACCTACAGTACTAACACACAATGAAGTATCAGAAATTTTACTACGGAGAATTGAACATGGCAACTCAATTGAATTGGGTTAAAGCATCATTTTTTCAATCAACATTTGAAAAGGTGTCAATTCATAAAAAATTGTTATATTTTGTTGAAAGTAAAAAAGAATATTTTTATTAATGGTTTTTAAAATGTTAAATTTTTGGGTATTTTTACATCAATTATAGATTTATTTGTATTGTTTATTTATAAATATTAATTTTTTATTGTGAACTAGTTAATCTATTTCCATCAAGTACAGTTCTACTTATCTCAAAGGGTCAGATGTTAGAAATTAAACTTAAATAGATAAAATCCAAATTCTAAAACCGATCGCACTAAAGCTACTTATATTATTTTAAGACGTGACTTGTTCATATCCGCACAGGTCGCTTAATAAAACCTGGATTTCTCAAAGCATTTGCACAGACCGTTTCTGTATAGTGCTTAAAGGATAGTTTTGAGTTTTTAGACCAAGGTTTCTAATTTATTTAACAATAATGATGTTGGAACCGTCAAGTTTGTAGTGACGTAAAATGGGTTAGCGTTTATGGTGAAAATATAAGTGAGTTTTTTAATATTAAGATGTAGTCCATTGTTTGTACGCCATAATAAAAATCTGTTAAGATCTTGATGTAGTTTGAGACGGTTATCATGATTATTACTGCTATAAATATCTTAGATTAAGATCATCATCAAATAATAAAAATGTCTATATTTAAATATTGAGTTTAAATCATTTATGAATACAAAGAATAGAAAAGGAGATAGGTAACTAAGATTGGATTACTCAAGATGATATCAATATTGGATTTGACCTAGCATTTTGTATTTTCATTAAGTGGGTGTGTTCAGAAAGACATGACAATATACGATCACTCGGTCTATAGAGTCAAATGTTTTTTCTTTTATTTTAGCATAAACTTAATTGCAACAGACTTACAGTATTAAAACTACAACAAAAAAAGTGAAATAAAGACAACTTTTTTACCCCTTATGTAGGAAAGGGTTTTGATATATCTTCGGTTTGCCAATGAATATTAATACTATATCTAAAGAATATTCCATTCAAATTAGAAACTTATTCGACTATTTTTATACAATTTTTAGTGCGCCATAATTTTAAATTGAAAAGTATGTATGTTTATTGTTTTTAGGATGCTTTTGTCGATTTTAAAGGGGTAAACTTTTTAAGTTCTTAGCCCAATGAAAAACCTTATAGGTACGAATTTTGATCTTTAGTCCAGACACAATATATCTTGTCGAAAACTGAGCTTCGCATCGAAGGTAAGAAGTCAATTATTATATTTGAATTAAGAAAATCACAAATTTACCATTAGAATACAGAGTGCCTACTTTATATATATAGAGTATATAGTATGTTAATTAGTTGATTAATTAATGATATATGTGACTGAGGTATTAAGAAACCTCCTACTATTGCCACTAATCTAAAAAAGTACTCTCGTGGTCGATTTGAAAAATGTTTACTAGTGTTATAGAAAAAAGCCCAAAACGTGTCATTACTTATTAATTAAATTGACCTGTTTAATTTTAAAAACATTGAATCTATATTGACGCGATCACATTTTATATGACTATATCTAATATTATGTTATCATCCCTCCGACAGCTAATGACAATAACCCAGTTATGTATTTTTTTTCAATGGTTTTAGCGGCTCATTTAGGACCATCATCTTCTCCTTTCTAAGATAAGACATATAAAATATACAAAAGGACCATTTTATTTGCATATATTTTATGATAATGTTAAAAACGCTTTATTATAAAATCAATATTTTTATGGCACAATCGTATCGGAGTAAATAATACTCTTAAGTGTACCTCTAATACATTATATAATATAGATACGCAATGAAAAAAAAAATATTACTTTAAAGAATTTTGTTGAATTCTTTTAAATTTGAATTTTTTCACCTCCTTAAATAACATCGAACGTTTTGCAAATTTCCTACCTACTTTTTTTATAGCTATTACTATTGTTGAACTCCTCGATCGACCCTTTAAAATGTTTATATACACTCAACATCATACTTAATTACTCATTTTAATTTGTAATTCGATAAATAATGCATTAAACAAAACTATCTACCTAAATAAATAACTATATATGAAATATAGTAATACCATTACAAAAATCACTACGAATTATACTTACATTTACATAATGTTAATCATCATTATAGGTATAATATTTTATTATTATTTATTATATAAACTTCTATCGTTTTGAATAACTTGTTTTTTTAAATATATGATTAAAAATGATATGTTCTAACGTTTTTTATGTAAGTACTAACCCTAGTAACGTAGAGTATATCTAAGGCAGGATTGGAAAAATTATAGTTTTAACTTATTGGCCCGACTTTTAAATTTTTAATTTTTTGGTTTGTGGCTCATAAAATGTATGAAATAACGTCTGAGTTTAGGACTGGTAATATATAAATGAAAGGTTTCAGTCTGGTCTTTTGTTCCAAATTTATCACAATAAAAAAAATTCTGCACCTTCATACACCGGGTTTTGTTAGATATTCAAATTTATTAAAAGTATACTCCGGTTTGAAACCCGTTATTTTTAGGTTCTGTAAAAATTAAAACCAATATTTGTTTAAATTAATTGTTTCAGTTTTTTTTTATGTAAACCGTTTGCAATAAACAATTCCAGGGGACCTAGTAATATAGTCCTAAATTTTATTTATAAATTTAAAAATCATATTTTATGAAAAAAATATATTATGTTGATCACTGTTCTCTCGTTAATGCCAGCAAACAAGGGTTTTTGCACGGAGAAACTGCACGTGTCGTTTTAAACGGGGAGTGAAATTAATTATTTTTAATTATACTTTTTAATCATTTTTTTATCCTCTAAAAACTGTCAAATCTATACCGACTGAGACCTCATTGGAGGGAGTAAAAACGTACAAACTGAGAAAAAAATACTTTTTAATCATTTTTGTTTTTCCCTAGACACCCTTTATTGAACATAAAATATCACTAACATTCACAACACAATTTTAAAAAAAATATTCATCGTAGATACCTACATAAAAAGATAATAACAATAAAGCATCGTATAAATAAATAGATTTTTGTATAAAAAAAGAACCCAGCATAGTTAAAACCAAGCACAGTTTAAACCAAAAAGGCCGCCAAGCTTCAGTTGAACTTGAAAAATGAACATTTCAAAAAAAAACTGAATTATTATTATATTATATCAAATTTTGCTCAAAAGTATTCAAGCACTATTCACAAAATATATACTTAGATAGTAAATGCCCTAACACAGGAACTATCTTTGAATCAACATGTTTTTTTTATCATATCTGTTCAAAAATGTAAAAGGATTTCAAGAATATAAGTTCAGGACTATCAATTTCATTATTCAGTAATTAGGCTTTAAAAAACCAGACATCTTTATATTGTCTAAGTAATTGCAAAGCTTGAAACTTAACACTATTAGTGGTAATATTCATATTAATTATAGCAATTTTTTTTTAATAGGAAGAATTAAATAAGACAAGTATTAATGTTCTAACTATATTAGACTAACTTACTATATCAGACAGATATAAAGATGAACTAAGAAAAAAGAAAATGTCAACAACTCTACGACACCTACTACAATGTTAAAAATAAAAAGTATCAAACCTATAATGTAAATCTAAGTATAATATGTAATTTCTTTACATGACATTTGTGTTAATTTTCAATTGTACTATTATTTAGCACTTTACATTGGATTTATTATTGAGTATATTAAATATGCAAGACGACTTCGTAGAGTCCCGTTCATCAAAATTCAATTATATTCGGAAGTATGATTTTTATTTGAAAAAAACTTTAATTAAAAAAATATGGTTTTAATTGAGAAACCCATTCGAAAAATGTACAAGAAGATAAAAAGAGAGGTAAACGTTTACCGTTTTATTATAAAATACTTATAAAACACCAAATATATTGTATTATAACACTTATTTTATGCATTTCGACCATTTTAAACACTGCACGGCGGACCCGTTGCAGCTTTTGTAAAAACCGATTATGCCGAAATTCCAGAAACAATATTCTATTCAGCAGTACTCGGTCTTATTACTTTCTTTTTAACGTTTTACCGCATTAAACGGCATCGGTAGCGCGACCACGTCTCTTCTGGAATGTTCTTATTCGGTGACGACGGAATGTAATGGCGGTTAAGAGATGAATGTCATAACAGCTTTCAGTCATGGCATTTTGAAAACTATTTCCTTTCGCATAGCAGCACTTAGCATCGCTCCTTTGATGAAATTCCTCGGATCTAATATAATAAATGCTGATAGAGCAGCGCACAGTTCAACTACATTCGGTTGAACGATTAAACTTTAGTTTTGTAACGATCATAGTAATATGCCTTTGAGAAACTGTAAAATTGTTTGTGTCGGTTCATACACTTTTGAATATGTATAGCTATATTTACGATACACCGCATAATATAATTTGACGATGATGATAATGGTGATGTAATTTATAATGTTTTATTGTATTAATTAAAAGTTTTAACGAATGCGGACGGCGATGCACCGAGCTGTTGGTGTTCTTTAACGAGTTTAGGGTTTTCAATGTACCCTTTCTGTATAATATAAAATATTATAGTTGTTAGCGAACAACACAAAAGCTGGCGATAAAATCTCCTTAACTTACAGTTCGCTTCTGTTTAGACACCTAATGAAAATTATAACTTGCCTAATATTTAACAATAATAATGATTACTTACCTAATGTAGATTAATGATGTACCAGTGAAGTACTTAATAACTGAAAACTGAAAAGAAGAATAACGAAAATTGCTCCCAGTCTTTTGGGGAAAAAGATTAAAAATTATATTTTCTGAGTTTATTTTACTGCCTTACGGTGTTATATGGTTTAAAAACTCATGTATTAAAAAAAAAAATATTATATTTGCTAAACATTTTCAAAGGTTAGATTTTTTTTTAAATAACGATTAATTAGGTATTAATTAAGCATTGCCTATTATTTTTTCCGTTTCACATATTGAGCAGAAATCTGGAACAAAAATAAATGGTTAATAATTCTCACACTTTGCAGGAACGATTTTATTCCTTCCTTTAAGATAGTATATTTAAATGTCCCTACGTTAATAGGTTACCCTTAGGTACTTGCTAAATTATTTAACTGGTCGGTGAGATCATTTGGGC